AGTCCGGGAAAGGTTTGCACATGAAATGAATTTTTTTTTTTTTTTTTTTTGGTTCCCAGGAATGAGGGGGGAGGAGAGGGAAAGTTGTTAGATGGCTAAGAGATAAGTAATGATTTGGGCAAAGGGAAAGGCAATATACCAAAAGTCAGGGAGCAGCAAAATAATACTAACGAAAGGAAGACACAGAGAGTTGCACAGAAAGTACAGACTACAAAGATAATTACTTTTGCATAGACAAATTGCATTATCAGTAATAACAACATTAATTTACAGTTGGATACATAATGGTCAGATATGGGTAGGCAAAAGGGAATATACCCATGACCATGGGTGAATGGATCTATTTCTGAGTTCTCAATTCTGTTCCACTGATCTATGTGTCTTTCATTGTATCAATACCAGGCTGTAGAGTAGGTTATGAGATCAAGGAGTGTGAGACTTCCTCCTTAGTTCTTCTCTTTCAGTAGTGTTTTTCTTATCTGAGGTCTCCTTCCTTTCCATATAAATTTGTTGTTAGGTGCCATTGAGTCGGCTCCGACTCATAGTACCCTATGTACAACAGAACAAAACACTGCCCAGTCCTGGGCCAGCCTCACAATCTTTGCTATACCTGAGCCCATTGTTGCAGCCACTGTGTCAATCCAGCTTGTTGAGGGTCTTCCCCTTTTTTCTCTGACCCTCTGCTTTACCAAGCATGATATCTTTCTCCAGAGAATGTTCCCTTCTGACAACATGGCCAAAATAATTTAGACAAAGTCGTGCTTCCAAGGAGCATTCTGGCTGCACTTCTTCCAGGACAGATTTGTTCATTCTTCTGGCAGCCTATGGTACCTTCAGCAATCTTTGCCAATACCACAACTCAAAAGCATTAACTTTTCTTCAGTGTTCCTTGTTCATTGTTCAGCTTTCACATGCATGCATATGAGGCTATGAAAGCACCATGACTTGGGTTAGGCCTACCTTAGTCTTCAAAGAGACATTTTTGCTGTTCAGCACTTTAAAGAGATCTTTTGTAGCAGACTTGTCCAATGGAAAGCATCATCTGATTTCTTGACTACTGCCTCCATTAGTGTCAATTGTGGAACCAAGCAATATGAAATCTTTAACCATGTCAATCTTTTCTCCATTTATCTTTATGCTGCTAATGGTCCAGTAGTGAGGATTTTTGCTTTCTTTATGTTGGGGAGTAATCC